GCCAAAATGTTGGCTTTCCTTGCGGCCCTCCTTTTTCTCTAATTTTGGTCTGCAAGCTTAGGTTGTTAACCCTCCAAAGAGAAGTTTATTGTTATTACCATACAACCTAGGCTGTTGAGCTTAACCTCAATCTGTCTGAATATCAAACATCTTAGGCATAACATGGAACAAGCATTTTTCATCAAGTATTGATATTTAAACTTTAAGTCCCTACAGAATATGATGAAAAAACATTAAACAATTAGAATATATTTTAAAAACAGGCATAAAGAATTATATAATTCTTATGTGTACACATAAGTCCAGAAATCTAATCATATACAACCTTGTAGCAGGACAGTCCCGCAACACTGAGATGGTATTAGCATTTAGTTTTTGTGCCATACTTCGAGTCATTCTTCTGTCCCTTCTCCACTGCCCTGTCCCTGAAAACTAATGCAGTTTTTAAAAGTTTTGGTCATAGGCAACTGTCTCCTCTGTGGCTGCTGAATTTCAGGACTTAGTTTCCAAAAATGCTGAGTTTCCTCTCCCTTCTGGAGTAAAGGTGACCTTCACTTATCTCCTGGCCACGTTAAGAAAAAAGGCTAGGCTAGATTTAATTCTCAAACTCTCAAAAAATAAATATAAAACTTTTAATCCAAGTTTATCTGCCTTAGAGTCCTTAAGCGAAAATGGAGATTAACTCTTCTTCCCTCTTCCCTGAAGAGTAATGCTGACTGATTTTTATAACACTGAACAGACCCACTGATTTTTCATACCATAGATAAGGTCATTGATAGAACAAAACGTTCCTAGGGAACCTTATGAGTTTAGTAACAGTTTTAAATGAGAACAAGTATAAAAGAATAGGCACAGCCCAGACTCCAGGCATTTGCCCCTTGTTTCATGATTTCTCTCCTTGCCTGGCTGGCCACTGAGGCTCTACATAGAAAGCTGTACTAAGCTATAGCTAAGTATGGTCCAAGGGTCTCAGCCAAGATGGAAAAAAGTGTCACAGGTAGACATCGACAGCAGGGCAGATGAGAGCCTTGGCAGCCTTTCTTCTCTTACTGTTTGTTGTTTGTTTATTTAGACAGGGCTCCACTACATAGTTCAGGCTGATTTTGAACTTGCTCTGTAGCCTAGGTTAGCCTCAAACTCATGGTATCCTCATGGTGGGATTCAGGTGTGCTCCACCACACCTGACCCCCACTGTTCAGATTATGTACTGAGCTCCAAAGAATGCCACGTAGTCTCTTTCTGCACCCACATGTGTCCTGCACACTCACCCCTAGAAATAGTTAAAATTACCTTTTAACAGTTTGGCTCTCCAGAACAATTACAGGCGGCTATGAAAACAACAGTAAAAGTCTATATAGGTAGATACGCTAGTCAGATGAACCATCAGGCTAAAGCCTGTCTTAAAACCTGTCTTTGCTTCTACAGTTGTAAAAGGTTTTATTCTTTCTGATTCTTTTTCTTTTTCTTCTGATT